CTTCTTCCTGCACAACCAAGCAGACCACCATCATAAATGTTGTCTTCATTTACTTTCTTTTCCCTTGCATTATTATGTGTTTTGTTTTTATTACGGTCACAATGTTTTGTCATAATGGCTGTGCTATTAGGAGAGAGCTCTTTTAGGAAAATCCTCTTTGTCTCCATATAAAGACCTAATCCCTGTTGCTTGCCAATGGCTGTGGAGATCAGTTTATTTTCTAATCATATTAATTGCTGCCTTTTTCATTCTCTAACCCCAATCCTCTGTGGTACTGTAGGATAAGCACTGGACTGCAAGGTCAGTTTGAACTACAATGTCAGTGATTCAAACTAACCAGCCACTCCTTGGAAGCCTTATACAGGATCACTATAAATTGGAAACTATTTTATGGCAATTAACAGCAACCCCCAAACCTCAAGTGTCCTGTTAATGCTATAGAATAAACACTGAACTGCTAACCACAAGGGGAACTGGTATGGCACTGTAGGATCAGCACTGGACTACGAACTACAAAGTTGGCAGTTCAACCTTACCAGCTGCTCCTTGAAAACCTTGTACAGGTTTGCTATGAGTCAGAACCAATCAACCGCACTTAACAACAACAGTAGGGTTTGCAAGAAGTAGCTGGTAGGTTTGAACTGTCCACCTTGTGGTTTGCAATCCAGTGCTTATGCTATAGCACCCTGGAGTCCCAGAAACCCGAAACAGTGTTGCTATGATTTAGAGCTTTAACAGCAACAACAACCCTCAACCCTCTCTCAATTCTGCGATAGCCTCTTTCCTAAATCACAGTGCCAATGAAGCCATGTTCAAGTGTTAGAAATGAATTCCAATGTCATGTAAAAGACCCTTGACCCTTGGTGAGACTAAGTACCTTGGCAAAGCAAAATTTATTCTTGCAGGAGGTTGCATACACATAGCCATACATACATACATACATACATACATACAGCCATACATACAGCCATACATACAGGAACCCGAGTGGACAGTCTACTCGAGTTTTTAATCCCTGATATGAGTCTTAAGGCTGTGTCTCACCCCATTGGCTAGGGCTTTGGCCGCACAATCTTTTCCCTTACCCAGTTGACTAGTTCAAATTTCTAAGGCATGCATTCCTATTTTAGGAAAGGAAAAAGAAAGCTCTTAAAGTCTTTATTCACTTCAGGAAGCAGTCAAAGAAAAAGAGAGAGATCATAAAATCTTAACTTCAGAAAATAATGAAAAAAAGAAAGGTTACCAGAATACAATAAATAGGATT